GCCCCGCAAGTTTACTATTACTATAGGTTGGCTTGCGCGTAAATCACCGTTCCAGCTGTGTTATGTCCCCTAGTTGTGTTTGTGGAATAGAGGACGGACAGGATGGCGGAGAACAAGTTTACGGCAACAGTCTCTGTGTGATACCAACCTCTCGGCGTGTGCCTCAACTTGTCCGCCTATGCGTAATGTCCTATCCGTCTGCAGGGAGTTCCGCCTACCGTGCGTGGCCTCGCAATTAAGGACAAGCGGCTTCCGTCCGCATTGTCTTTTCTGATTGGTCCATGCGGTAGAGGCGGAACCTATCCGGTAGCCTTGCATGTTGTCGGTCCTTGAAGGCCACGTGTAACCTGGCGGGACTTGTGTTTGCGTGGGACTCTTTGTGCGTATGCGTGGGCCTTTGTGTGATGGCGCATTCGCGTGATGCGATCTTTTTGTCAGGCTGAATTCAGGACGGCTAGATTGTTGAATCGTGTCCTCTGCCGTCCTTACATGCGGGCACCCTGCAGTGGGACATTTAGTTTGGGTTACAAACATTTAAACTTAATATGATTTTATGGTATGCTGCATCTTCAGTCAGGTGGGCATGGCATACAGCGGAGCTGATCAGCCGTTAAAATTTTGTTTGAGTCCGTTTTCGTTACAAAACCGTTTAACGTGGACATTAAAATAAACCTTATCGCCTTCGTACGATTGTAAAATTTTCCCGACTATTGTAGATGAGGATATAGGAACTGTAAAGTTAATAAACACTCTATGTGCATACAAATGGTAAACGAAGATATAATGATTTAAAGAATAGTATCGAATGACCTACTTCCAAGAGATAAAGAGGCTTGGAATGCATTCATGTAAGATACGGTAAGTTCTTTTTTCAGTACTTCCACATCGTTAATGGGTAACTAAAATAGGACCCATTATTTTGCCTCATGTAACCCACCGGAAACATTTATTTTAGTCTACTGGACTCAAAAATGTTGGAAAATTTAAATAGAGAGGGGGTAGGGGGGTTAGTCTAGAGACGTGCCAGTTTGCGCCAGTTTAAGAGGTATTCGTTTCCGCCCCAAACTGGCAATTCCGGAGTTTACCTCTTTTATCCTCGTTCCCTCGCGCCATGTGAGTCACAAGTGGATACGATTGGTGGCACATATATGGTGGCCTCTGGACTTCCTATCCGCAATGGCAATCTGCACGCAGGAGAGGTCGCAACCATGGCCCTAGAGCTGCTCAGTCTCAGCGCTGCCCTGGTAATTCGACACCTGCCAGATGTGCCCATCCTCTTGCGCATCGGCATCCACTCGGGTAGGTCAATGTCTGTGAATACTAATAGAGGATGGTAATTACAACAAGGTGAACCATCCGCCTTGTTAGTCATCACCCCCTACAAAGTACAGTATGCACACGAGTATGCTTACGCTGTCCTTTGTTAGTCCACACCTTAACTGTCCTCTTTGTAGCAGCCTACCGCACACCCTCCCCTGGTTTTGCTTCCAGGGAAACATCTGCTACAATTTACCCCGTACTGCCAGTTATTTGGTGAGTCCTTTGCGAAATCCTATAGGGAATTGGGGAATATTTTGGTAGCCTGAAGCGAACGTACATAGGCAGCGTACTAGACTTCATGACTAGCCTCAGCTTCCAGATTAACAGCCAAAATTTGATTATGGGGTTCTACATGACGGCAATTTTGTTTCCTGTCTGACGCCTCGCACAAAAATAATTGTTTGTCTGCTGAAGTATAACGGCCTATAAATCCAGATATTTGCTAAAACCTAAAAGAAATTTGTCCATAAAACTAACACACAGGAAGGTTTTCATGTGCGCATGTGTGCTATTTATTCTCTTTTCACTGTCTGCATATATATAAGGAGCTTTCATTGGAATTATGAACAAAACAATCACTGTATTCAAAGTTGACCAAACATTTGGTATTTTTACATGTTTCTTCTTTAAAGGAAAGTGCTTTCTTGGGTTTCAGTAAATCACAGGAGTGCTGGAATTGACGGATATCTAAAGGTATAGTAACGCCACACACACACACACCGTGTCCTTTACGGACTGTCTCGATTTAAACGCACCGGACAGCGTTGTTAGTCATTCAGTGAAGTTAGAATATAGAAAATTATCGTAACGAAAAGAATACAAAATTTATACATCTTTCCAGTGTGGAATTGAAAAATATGCAACGAAGGTTAGTTTTAGTGTTTCCATAGTGATTGGGGTCTTCTTCTTTATGTTCCTGTCATTGCCATGTCCAGACTGCTTTAAAATATAGTGGAAACGCAGAAAAGATGAACCGTAATAGGAACTAATATGTTCTTTGGCATTGAAACAAATGTAGCTGTGCGAATAAAGATTACTCTTAATATTTATTGCCGGTGTTTATGGGTTGTTAGAAAGAAATTTAGTTTCTGGTATCCAAACTGCTAGCGATAATTTGATTCTTAAAATCATAATTTTAGGTCTGCATGATGAATTTGCAGAGGTTCAGACACCTCTTTTTAGTGTTATGAGGGAAAACAGCTTCAAAAAGTTATAATGAATGAAATAGGCCATTAGGATAACGGAAATGTTTATTCCAAACTTCAATATTTGAAGTTGGAAACATCATTCTAAACAATTCTTCCTGAAGTGTTAACTTCACGTGTCTTACTTATGCAAATGTCCTAGCTACTAAGTAATGAACTTCTTTTGAAATGCTGAACAAGCATCATCAGTGTCTTTCATCCTTTACAGGAGCATGCGTAGCTGGTGTCGTCGGATTAAAGATGCCACGTTACTGCCTCTTTGGGGATACGGTGGATACCGCGTCCAGAATGGAGTCCGCCAGTGAAGGTGAGAGCTAGACAGTGAAGAAAATGTCTGCTCCTCTCAGAACTTCAGGGAATAAACCCACCTTCATCCCCTCATTTGCCAAAAATCTTTAATGTTTAACGGAGACGTCAAACATAGGTTTAGCTCAGAGTTATTGGGACACTTTTTGAACACAGTTACTTTAATTACATGGACTTTTACCAGAGACGCAAACTACCTTTAATTGGATGGCATAACGCTAAATATGTTTTAATTGCAGGAAGTCACCAGGGGGAACCGCAAGAAATAGACCACATCGTAGAAGACTTATGTTGTCTGGAAATTCTTCCGTTAGCACAAGCAGCGAAGACGGCAAAAAAGGGATAAAATACAGTTTTTAACAACTGTCACACACGCGATGAGGCAACTTCCAAACGGTTTCCCGATGTACGGTATTGAGGGTGTCCTTACCTCCAGCGAAGCCGCCTTTAAAAATTAACTAGATCAAGGTGGTAGGCACTTCCCACTTGTCTTCGAGAATGCCTTTTGAAATATAATTGAACAGATACATGAGCCACCGGCCTCAACTCGAATTCAAACAGCTCACAAATACTGGCAACCAATCATTAGATTCAGAAGTCCAGTTTGGCGAGTATACGTGTACTTTCGACATATTCTCGTCAGGCCTTACCTTA